GAGCGAAGTTTTTTCCGTCGGCCGGGACTGCCTTTTTACACAAAAGACTTTCTCTCCGGATTGTCTTAAACAAATAAACTCGGAATTTAAAATATTCCGCAGAATTTCAAACGAATTTTTCGTACGAATTACGGGGACGTCCACTCTTCTACTCCCATTTATATTATTTTTCCGTGGCGCCGTACGGAAGGTAGGGTCGAGCCTGTATTTAATCCGTTTATATTATTAAGAATTAAAAATAAATAAATTTGTCGGCGGTCTTTATCCGGACTGAAACGGCGGAAAGGGAGTTTTTCGGCCCGTGGCGGCGGGATATTCCGGAAATTAAGCCATAATCGGATCCCTCCCAGGCTGCACCGGCCGTTTAAGGGACAAAACTGTGTCTCGAGTGGTCGAAACCGGCCGTCCAACCCGGAGTCGTAAGAGGCGACGAAAAGGAATACCGTTTTTACACAGTTATTATTATTAAATGTACCCGCATTTCTCTCCCCACCTTAATAACGTACGGATGATAATTAAAAGTATTATGCGAGAAATAGTAATTAAACCGTATTATACTATTTATCGTAGTGGGAAAACCTTTAAATGGTAAGGAAGCGATGGACTGCGCGGCGTTAGTTAATTAATATTAAGAACGAACGACGAAATTTTACGTTCGGGTCGAGCCGTGAAAAACGTCTACTCGAACAAAGCCACGCCCCGCGCGATAGGTAAACATCGGCCGTTACCGTATTCGGCCGGCAGACAGGGGGTAAGAAGAAGGAAGGTTTGGCACTTTCGGGCAGAAGGAACGGTCCATTGGGAACTTCCACTTTGGCCGAATCCTTGACCTCCGGAGTCAGGGACGCGCGCGCCCGTTTCTCCGTCGGCGCCCGGTGACGTAACCATCCTTTCTCGCGAGGGTTACGTCGAAAGCGCCATTTTCGGCCCGTTCGATTAACCGGGCGCGGATACGACGGTAAGCACGGCGCTTATCTAAACGTGTAATTAGGCCGGAGGCCGGGATAAAGCGCGATAATCGACGGATAAGAGAAGTTAATAATACCTTTTGTGGACTAATCGGAGTTTAATTTTAATTTAATCTGTCGGAGAGTCGATAAATAGACGAGTAAATAAATAAAAAAGTTCCGGTCCAATGAATTAGACACCGTTAATTAGATTAAAGATTACGGAGATCGGAAGGGGGTGTTTAACCGGTTATTGGCCCTGTCGACGACGATTGGTTTTCGCAGGCTTAAAATTGCTTCCATACTTTAAATTTCTCTTCTTTTTACGATAAAGAAATTATTGTTATTACCCTTTACCTTCGATTACTCCGAGAAAAACTCGATGGGGTTTAAGTCCCGCGCTGACTTATCTGGCGGAATGTTTTATCGGTGGGTTTTGTCTCGTTTCCATTATGGAAAAAGACATGGAACCGAACTCGGTCTGGCCTTTTTGCCACTTCCGCCGTCCTCCAGACGGTCGTACTCCGGTCCTCGGCGGACTTTTGTTTAAAACGTGCGACTTTAACCGGTGAGGAAGGAATTAATTCGGGCGCCGAAACCGTAGAGAAATAAGCATTTTGTATTTTCCGAAGGTGTTTGGGAAAGGTTAGGCCCGAGCGGATGGCCGCCGGTAAATCCACGTATTTTAGGGAAACCAATGACGTAAATAACTTGGAACGGTACGAATGGCCGCGACCTTCTCTGGCGGCCGTCTCAGAGATTCGACCGAGGAAATTTTCCATTAAAAATATCTGCCGCTACGAAGATTTCGTTTTCCCCTTTGTATTATTGCTCGACCGATACAAAAACTGAAATTCGTTAAAGCGTAGGAATTTTTATGTAGGTCTACGGTTGAATGTATTATGATTAATTATCGCGCCCGACGATAGATAACCGCGTTAAATTACTACAATTTTTTTTCCAATTTAACCAATCGCCGCTTTAAATATAGAAGAAATTGTATATTTTGACCCGAATCGGTGAAAATTCTGACATGGCTTGCATTTGTTCGAATTATTGAAGTATGAGGTAGAGTAACCTATTTATTAACCGACTTATTAACGAATCTCGTTCTCGGGGTCGACGACCTCAAACTGTATATCAAACCGACTTAAAAGACAGATGCGCCAAACATCTGCAATTCATTCCAGAAACTTTTCTTCTCTTTTTTATTTTGCTTCATTGTTCGCTTTTAGGTCAATTCTAAAATCTTTCGTTTTTTAAATTCCCAAAGTGGAAGACCCATCCAAGGCTAAAATCAATCTTTTAACTTTTATTTTCAACTGATATGGTTGGGTCGAATTAAACAACTTGCAGGAAAATTGACGACTTATCGATATTTACCACGGACGAAAAGATCCGGCGGAAATTTATAAGTTATGTATAAATAATTGAAGTCCGTTTTAATATGTATTTAGATCTATTATAATTACTAGTAAATAAGTTTTCCTTAATTAGGAAAGAACTAATTTATTATGGGAAGATTGCCGCAATCTAATTATTAATCTATAATAGAAAATAAATAATTCCTTACGTAATAATAGTTAATTGGCAATTAATTTTATTAATTAAAAATCTATTTGCTATTATTTTTCCTATTTATTTTTAAAGTTTTATTGGAGCTTTCAGTTATTTTCCAGATTAAATTACTATTATTTTCTAAGAGAAAACGAAGAATTAGAAACACCTTAAGCCCAAATTCCTTAATAAAGCGTTTTTATTCGATAAAAATTTATTTTTCTCCTTCAAAAAATAATCAAAATTTCACAAACTTTTTCCAAGTTAGTAAATTTTCATTTAGGCCTAATAATAATAAAATTAAGTGAACGTTTTGTGTCGTTTTTAAATATAATGTCACACCTTTTTTCTCATTTTGATTTAACATTAAAATTTTCCTCCAATTTTGAATAGGCTAGAAACTTTCCTTTCGAGGTATTCTTAACTAAATTATTGTTTACTCGTATTTTATACATTACATTTAGTTAAAAACAGTTTTTTTTTATTTTTTTCCGGTGTATTTATACAGTACGTACTGTAAGTGTGCATAGCAGTGTCTAGAGGCAACAAAATATCAGAAAAGGAACGACGGAGAAAGAGGTGGGCCGAACTCTACTTTTCAAACGTCGATCGACGTTTCTTTTTTATCGCTTAACGACATTTATTGTGGCGGTAAACTGATATTAAAAGAAAAAACTGGCGTAACTCCATTCAAAAAATATTCGTTCGTATTTTTGTTTGTTTTTTTTTATTAAGAATCGTTTAAACGACGAAATAAATCGGGCGACGGGCAATCGAGCGGATAATGTTATTCCGAAAATAGTTGGAATGCTATTCTTATCTTTATTTAACGAGAACAATAAATGGGAATCAAACACCAAAAATAACGAGTAACCTACTTTCACCTCGCCGCTCTCCTCGTGTCATCCGACCGACCGACAGATTCTTCTTTTGTTACGGAACACTACTCATACCCGGGGTTACGGATCTTCCACAGAGATCAATCTCTCCTTATTATTACCGATAGACGTAAAATATGCTCGTTCCTACTTGATTATTTTTAACTGCGGCTCTCACCCTCGTTCTTCGTCCACCCCTTTCCAAAACTACATTTAATTGGCCCACCCGCACAAAATAAGAGTAAATTGCAAATAGAACGAAATAAGCATTCAAATTAGGAATATTGAGCCCATTATCCTATGGGCAAAGAACCATTGCCGGGGACCTCACCGATGTTTTACTAGAAAATATTTAGTCTCAGAAGTGATCCAAATTGTTTAAGCTTTTTTTATATATCGCCATTTAAAGCTGGTAGAACATAAGCGCTAAAATATAATTAGTCATCATTATTGTTTTTTAAATCGGTTAGACTTTACGCGGTTAAATCGTAACGTTTAGGGCGGATTTTAATGGTCTGAAGGTCAATAACTGGGTATTTATGCGGTATCGGAATTTAAAAATATATAATGAGAGGAAAAAATTATATAAAATTCATTAGTGGATTGGGACGAAACGTGGGTAGTTAAATAACCTTGTCTATCCCGTCAAAAACAATGGAGTCGACTAACGAAAACTCGTTTGTCAAAGGTTTCCATATAAGAAACTATTAATTTACTACGTTAAAATTTGTTACCACTCCGACATAAAAAGAATATAACGCTTATTTCTTAGAGATATATTCTATTGGATAACTCGGGCCCGACGGGAGGAGGATGCCACCACTCGGGTGACGTCATCGGTATTGGTTCATTAATTTATCTGACTAATTTGTTATTCGATGGGCCGAAAACGTGTCTAGATTATATTTACGCAGATTTATCTGCCGGGCACCGTAATATTGTTTGAATATTAAAGCATAATTCAGATGTCCTTCGATAAAATATCAGCCAATTTTTTCTATTTCTTTTCTTTAGGGAACGAATTAATGAGAAGGCTTTCTGACCACGTATCTACAACCTTGTAATTACAATTATCTTTCCCGAAATAAGCCAAGTTAACGGTAAAAAATGATTTTTTCTAATTAAAAATGTGTCTTTCGAAATATTTTGCAATTTTTTTTCAACGTAAAACGAAGAAATATTTAATTATAACGTATCTAAATGTTGGGGCAGATATGAAACACTTTTTATTCTTGTGATAAATTAATTAGTTTGTCGCCATTTTAATGGTTAAAAAATCAAAATTGGGGGAAAAGATAATTTACATAGATTTAAAGTCGATCACCGACGTCTCTTTTTAAAGATCTTCCTTAATTCCGTTTCGTACGCGTAATCGATGGATTAATTCAATTTTAGAAAAAGAACTTGGCATTTTGGCCAGATTCGATGTGTTTTGGCAGAAGAATTTTCAATTTGTTTCTAAATATTTAAATGTAAAAGTGTAATCGAGCCCCGGAGCATTAAATACGCGTGTAAGATGGTCGGGTGACATTGCCCGATGCCAAAGTTTCGGTCGTTGAAAAAGCATAAAAACTAGTTTTGGTTTCTAGAACATAAAATATATTTATTTGCCATCAAAAATAAAAGTAAATTCCGTCAAAATGGTAATCGTAATTTATAAAATTGTTTATAAATTTTGAGAGCGGAACAAACAATGTTCGCGCTCCTTCTTCGGCAATTTATCCCACTTTTTACATAATTTCCGGTCCATTTCCCGATTTTTCTAGGAAATATTCTCCCCGATTTCCTTCTCCCAGACGACACTTTAACTATTCTTTTACGCGCGCCCGTATAATAAATGAAGAGAGAATGATTTATATTTTAATATTTGTCCGAATTCTTGATATATAAATAATGAAATAAGAATTATATTAGTAATTAGGGACGACTTTAGTAAAGTTACTCATTAAAATTTTTAATTTGTGTTTATATACAAATTGTCTCATTTGTCAGTAACTCGGACGTGTTTATATTTCATTAAAATTAGCCGCTGTACGAATACGTCAACCGCCGGCGATTAACTTTCCCGCCAGTAAAATTATAATAATTAAAGAAAAATTTGGAAGGGACAAAGCGGCTCTGCCGTTGCAGTTGTTCTTTCTGCAGAAACACACTTCCTTTTGCCATCCGTTGCCCATATTTTCTCTGTAACAGCCCGATTTTGCCGTGGTGACGGCGCACATACGCGTCACGTTTTTAATAGGACTCTCCGAACCTGCCGTCAACGAAAAATAAACCCGTTAGTTATTTCTTTTCCTATCAGATGGCAGTGTCGCATCCCACAGGTTGCTGCCATCTGGCGTAGGAAATCACTACTAAATTTTATTTATATAATATTTCCAATTCTTACCCATCAGACGGAAATTCCACGTAATACAGGCGTCTCCGTCGGTACAGTTTTTACATTTTTTCCATAGAATATTTTTATCTGCGGGTTCTTCCCAACTTTCTTTTCCCAAAAACGGTTCTACCGAAGGATTGTTTATTTCGTCCTCCACTTTTTCCGTCGGTTTCGCATCGGGAATTCTCGAAACATCCTCTTTATAATCTCTGTCCCAAGTACATTGCCAACATTTTAATTTCTCGTCGCCATCTGTCGACGGAAAATATCAAAAATTAAATTTTATAATAAATACTTCGACCTTTAGAGAGGCGAGGATCGCGCCTTTCCCATGCCCCGATCTGTCGAAAATCAAAATAATATGCAAAAAGTCCCACCGAAATACTTTTAAATAATGACACGCGAAAAAGCCGTACGACATAAATGCGACAACGATTTTCCGAGCCCAGCCGAAAAGCCTGGTAGGTCCCGGTATAGCTGTATATTTAGGCCCTAGTTGCCGGCCGGATCAAATACCCTGGCCCGTCCCTTCACCGTACCTTACGTATTTAAATGGCATAGGAGGCCAGCGGAGCGATTTTCGCTCGGCTGCCTCCCTCTGTGATAAAGTCTAAATATCTAACAGAAGAAACACAATTAATTAACGAATTAGAAGTCGAATGATTAAGTATGGAAGTACTTACTTGACGTTACTGGCAGAGAAAATGTTAAAATGAAGAGAAAATAAATATAAAACTTCATGATATCATTAACACTAAGTCATATTTTAGTTGCAATATTGAAACGTTTGTTAAAGCGCTTTGATAATTGCCTTATCACTCCGATAAGATATTAATATTGTGAATATTTTTGTAACAAATAGCAAATTGAATATAATCGTCGTATTTAATAATTAATACTCTAAACCAATAAAATATAAAATAAAGATTAATATTTTAAAATTCATTTTTTAAAGTAATAAATTCTTGTCAATTTTGTAATTATTTTAAAGTTTATAAAACAAATAAATTTAAAGGGGGAAATTCTTAAAACCCAAAACTAAAAAAGATTTTAATTTTAAAATAATTTAGTAAACTTATTAGTCGCCAGATGGCGGCAAAAATTATTTTAGCTCCATTTTTGTTTTTGAAATTAATTCTAGAAATTTGTACAGAATTAATCTTATTTATTTGTACTTTATGATTAATTCGAGTAATTTTAATTGCGGCATAAATTAATTTAAATATTTACTTTAAGTCTTTTCTAATATATTTGTAGAATTTATTATTAATTCGTAACAGTTTAAGAACCTATATCATTCATTCAAATTAAATTATATTTTTCCCACAAATTTTATTTAAAATTCTAAAATCAATTATTTTTATAAATTTAAAATTTAAATGTCGTCAAATGTAATAATCTTAGATCAATTCTCTTTTTAACGATCTTTAAAACTTGTCCTTGGCGAATATTGCTTCCGTAATGTTTTTATGGTTTTAGATAATATTTTAAATAGATTTCTTGGAGAAAATTTGTTAAATTTTTTAAAAAACTAATATTAAAAAAATTTTAAATTTAAAATGATTAATTGCATTTTTACCAATGCCGATAGATGGCAGCAAAAACTTAAAATAAAGCTATTGAATATGGGCGTGGTTAATAAGAATCGCGGGTCCTCTATTGGCTATTGTTTTACGTCATAAAATAGGAACCAATGGAACGATTAGATATTTTTTCCGTTCCATCCGTCTGTCGTTCCGTTCGCTGTATAAACTGTAAATAATTGTTTGTTATAATGTTTGACATGTCCAAAACTTAACCTAAACGCGTTGAATAACGAAAATTTTTGCAAAAAACTTTAGGGAAATGCGCTGTTATAGCGAAATAATTCATTCTGATAGATTATTAATCACGACGTATTTGTCCCATGTGCGAAACTTACCAATCATCCAGAAGCTAACGGGTTTCCATTCATCTCTAGCCAAATCCATCATGATACGGTAGGTACGAGAGAAAGATAAAATGACAACAAACCGATAAAAACATCAATGCGATGAATGGGTGGCCGCATTGGTCACAGTACAGAAATAATGCCACCATACCAACACGCAATGTTAATAGAAATATTGTTTCCGAGCTCGGAAAGGGAGGCATATCAATGCCAATGGGTATACTCCCCGGAGCACGCGCCTTTCGACATGGGAACCACTATTGTGAGTTTCTTCTATACTAATACCCTGTGTGAATCTGTAAACCGTGACATCTTGATTTCCGCGAGGGAAGTTTGGCGACAAGGTCGAAAGATTTAAACAGTAATTTGTCAAATGCGGACTAACCATGAAATTTCTAACCCCCTGTTTCTCTTTTCGATTTTTTTCGTTGTTGGAACCCATCTTTGGCCCGTTACCTACCTACCAATTGAATAATACATTCGCGTGTGAGAATATGTTTCCAGCCGTTCTGTATAGAAAGAATTGGTCACGCAGGATTTTCAAATGGGGTCGGGGATTGGTGGCTGATTAAGATGTGTGTGTATGTACGCTTCTGTTATAACTACACAGATGCCACAGATTGTTGGCTATTATTATGATTTTGGATTAACGTTATATTCCATCTGCTTTTTTTAAATTTATTTGAATAGACTCATACCCACTAATCGATGATAAATGTCAATTCCCGTCCTTTCTTTTCTTTATATTGATTATCATAAGATAAATAAAATAGTCTCGAGTTATTCAAACAAGACCCTTTTATTAACTTAATAAAGAATAATTGTTCACGAAATTAAACAAACGATTGAAGTAAACAGAATTTGTCAAAGAATTAAACGAAAAGCAAACGGACCACCGTTAAACAATTGATGTCGAGAATACAGAAATTATAAAATTATCGGCGCAATTTTATAATTTCAAATTCTTCTACCGACGAAATAACAAAGGCTATTTTATAGCACGAAGGCATTACGGTATTTGTATTTAAATTATAAAAATCGACTGCTTTTGAATTCGGAAATGCCCGGGGACGACGAGCATCCCCCGAATTTCTATTTATTACAAGTTTTAAACAATGGGAGTAAATAAAAATTACAAGACGAAGTTAACAATCGCAGTGTCGTGTTGTTCGATCGTGCGTGGACCCGTCCACAGCGGTTTAACAAAAACGAGAAAAAAAGAAGAATTTATTTTCCCGTATTTAGGCGGAAGGCATCGATTTGTACATCTCTAACAATTTATAAAAGGCGATCAATCTATCTTAAACGGTGAGATAAAATTACTTTGGAGTTTAAGTCGTTTGGCCAGAGTTTAATTTCCAGAGAATGCTCAATTGGCACGGGGAGATCGAGGAACATTGCAAATATGTCAGATACCTCGGAATATTAATTTTGTGTCAAACTGAAAACTAGATTATAATATAATAGGCCCACACCTATAATATTAAGCATTAGACGATACAATCAATCATATTAACCGCTTCAAAGATCACTTCATTTTCATCCCCAGGTATTTGATTAAATTATGCAAACCGGCGGGAATGGTGGAAGACAAAAATAATTTTACTTGTAAAATATCTAAATTTTTCTACTAAAAATCAGTTAATAATGTTGCGAATGTTAATTAATCAACTAAAACGAATTTCTAGAATTTAAAAAAAATATATCAAAAAACGATCTTAACGAGAAATATTACAAAAAGCGTGGTAAAATAAGTTTTTTAATTTCCCTCGATGTGATAAAGTGATGTGCAACACTTCATGAATCATTCATTTTGCAAAAGAAAGTAATTGCGGACGACGACGTTGCGAGACGAGAAAATTACTTGGCTGAAAACACGATTTCCATAAGGTTTCTTTTTTCCTTTTTAATCACACAGAAATTCTAAAGACATTACACGAGAATCTCCACGTCGGACGATCATTCCTCGCCAAATGCTAAAATTGCTTTCGACTTTGTTTCGTCTGCCGCAGAAGTAAATTCCCGGCCACTTTCGTTTAATATAATCTCCAATTCGAACGTTTTCTCCTCAGAAGAGATCCACCCGAAAGTCTTTTCTACAGAAATTCCCCTCCATCGACCGGAAAAAATGAAACTTTCGTATCTCCCATGGGCTTCGGTGTTAATAGACTTTTCTCCTTTCGCCTCGCAACTTAAGAAGAAACGAACTGGCGTCCTTATTCTTAAAGAATATTAACGGAACTTTAATCATTATTGCCGTAAAGCGGTCGTAACTCCCGTTGATTTTCGTCAAAATATTCTCTAATTATTCCTCGATGGTTCCGATTTCACGAAGATCTCTTCCTAAGTTACTCGGGAAGAGGATTTTCTAGAACGGTCCGAGTCAAATCCAATAAAAGGTGTGGTCCGCACTTTCCGAAATCAAACTTTTGCTTCGACTTCCATTTTTTGCAACTTCTTTGCAAATACAGTACTCTTATTTCCAGCCGTAAAGCAAATCGTTGGTACTCGCTTAATTACCACCGTTAACGGTTGGATTTGGCGTCGACCCCCCCGGACAGACAATCATAGTTCGTATCGGTGCGGTTGTTTCTCCTTCCGGGAAATAAAGTTCGTTTACAGTTCTTATTACGACTCGGACAGACTATAATAGGAACCGTATCTATCCAATTATATTATTACACAATAAATTAATTACCGTCGATTTAATTTAGGTATCGGAGGATTCAATGGTAAAACAACGGGCCGACGGACTAATTTTAATATTCTATTATTTTTATATAAAATAACGAAATATTTTATAAAAAGTCAGAGTCGGTTTTTCTTTATTTTATTTTGTTTTTTTAAATGCCAGTTTCATTTATTTTAAGAAAAGGAGTCCGTTTTCTTTTCAATTCTCGAGAAATAAATGCTTATTTTAACGGTAATTTACTATAATTATGCTCGGGCCTAAAAGAGAGATGGCTTCCAAATGGGGCCCGACCTACGCTTTATCGAAAATGCTTTATTTTTGACAACTTCCATCGCATAGTAGAACCTCGATTTTTCCTGGGAGCATTAATAACTGTTCTAACGAACGAACGGGGAATTTGTTTTTCGTCAATTCGGTTTGTAAGAAAAAACTGTATAAGCTCGGTCGGGCCGTAAAGGGAGCGCGTGCCTTAATCACGGGGTCGAGTTTACCAAATAATGTATTTATCCGCCGTTCGAATAGTTTACATATTTATTTATGCGACAATAATATTATTCCACGCGGCGATAAACTACTTTTAGATTTTTCCACGCAATTATTAACTTTTAAAATTAAAAATTATTTTAAGCCTTTTGTTTGTTTATTTATCGAGTCTATTTTATTTCGTTTATTCGAACACTTTAGTGTGGTAAATATAGAATACAACTGTAACTGTGTCTTAAAATGGATATGGAAAATGTTGTGGTATATTTAATTAAGAGATGGTCGGAGGAGACGAGACGAAAATATAAACCTTTAAAGTATGTGATTATTACCTAAAGATTACTATTATTAAAAGGTTCTGCAAAGGCTTCCGTTTAACTCGAGGCAAACAACCCAGTGAGGTCTCAGAGAAACTTTACCTTTCGTTAATCATTTAAATGAATATTCGCGAAATAAAAGTCTGTTTAAGGATTTGTTTCCATTTATAATTATAAATTATAAACTGAAATTCTGAAAAATTATTTTTTATAACGGTTTATTTTATATAAATCTTCTGTTTTAAGGAACGATTCCTTCGTCAATTTATTTATCATTTAAGTTAACCAACCCGAATTTATTGACCCGAACGATCCTTTTCGTTGTTTAATTAAGTAATATATTTTGGCGTATTTATTTATTATGGCT